TATATTCTGGAGTCTTCTGTCGTCACTACTCCAGTACTACAACGGTAGGATATCCCAATGGACTGATAAAATAGCTCATTTTCTGATCCCCTATACTTACAAGGGAGAATTCAGAGACAAGTGATAGGTCTCTTTGCCCACCCCATTTTAATTTTACATGAATCTGCTGAAAATACATGAACCTCCCACTTGGCAACATTGCAGCTAAACCTCTATCTTTGCTGCTGAAGTTTGTATTTTGTTACAGACTGACCAGACCTCTTTACCCATCCTTTTGGGAATATGTCTGGTTCCTACTCCCTGTCTCTTAGTTTTACAGTGAGACTGGAAACTTGACTCCCTGCTGACTTTTCTTCGTGTGGCTGTTCCAAAGGTTCTTTTCTTTCCAGTGCCCTGATAGCAAAACCAAACTGGTATAGCTGTGAGGCCCAATTCTCACCCAGTTTCATCTTCTCACTATTATTTCTGAAGCCCTGACTAAATGGCAGAGAACTGGGAAAAGGCGATATGTATAAATAACCATGTTGAATGTGTGTCTCTTCTAATAGGGCACTAGAGGAAGAAGCTATTACTAAGGAAAGTGAAAATAGAGGAGATCCATAGACAAGCTTAACAGTGAATAGTATGAGAGAGAGACACACACACTTCCAATCTGTATTTAAACAAAATCAATTGAAACTGATTTCAACAACCAAATTTGTTGGGTGTCTAACCACATGCCAAACACTTATGGAATAAGAGAGAAAAAGAGAATTTATATAATAGAATGCATCCTTTCTTTGATAAAACCTGGTTAAACTCCAAAACTTGGTATGTTTCAACTTTGCAAAACCTTCATGTATATGCCACCTGTAATTTGAGCTTTTCTGTGAATTTAGGAATCTTGAGTAAACAAGAACCTCGTGCTTATGCTGAACACAGTAAAAAATGTCTTGAGATAGAGCTAAGGTCAAGGGCACTGCAACTATAACCACACCCCTGTGTTGTTTATGCCCTTCCTGGCTGACACTCAATCATTTGCATTCCTCCTCAATTATTTTTCAAGTAATAATCGCACTGGTGTTTTTAATGAACATTAAGGTCAGTAAGTAATTGGCTGGAGGATCCTCTATTGGCCATGGCTTCCAGGCCAATAGAAAAATTTCATGGCTTCCAGGATGTTAAGGTGCAGAACTGTAATATTAAAGGAATATATCCACTGGTTTTAATATTCCCTCTCTGGGTCTCTGTTTCCTAAATGAGGGAGTTAGAATAAATTGTTTCTAAGGTCAGTTTATCTTTACACTGTATATAGGTAGCTTCCTTTCCTCATCAAATTTAATAGATAACACAAAAGCAACCTTTTTTTATTTTCCACCCTAACTCAAGGGCATTATTCACCAACTTTGAAGTTAAGAAATATAGTTATCCATTCATTGGCTAAATGAAACTCTTCAGATTCCCCTTGCTTCCCCTCTTCTCCATTTCCTTATGGGAAATGTATACAACTTAGAAGTTTGAAAACCATTATCATCAAAATCTATTTAAATACCTCTTTAACACACACACACACACACACACACACACACGCACGCACTATTGTCCAGGATATTTAGGGAGCTTAAAGTTTAAAACAAGCTTTGTAGATGCAGGTAAATATGCAGAATACATAAGAAAATAGAATAAAAGTGTTTGGACATATGTAAGTGAAAGTGTTTGTTGGCTACATATGACTAGTAGATGTACTTTCTGTTTGTGAAAGAACTACAGGAGCACTTCTGCGATGTTGATTTACTAGTATTATTGGAATAGGAAGGTGTATTAATAAATCATTGGGTAAGTATTTACATCTTAGGTAAGTCTCCAGGGCGAAATTATCGCCAAAAGGAGTCAAGCTTCAAGAAAGCCTAATTGTATGGCTTACCACCATAGAAAACTCACAAACCATTTGTTTTGGTTCTCAGATTCTCCAATTTAAGAAAGAAAAACTGAGCTATCTGGAATTAGAAATAGGCAGTATTTGTATGCATTCTTTCAGCAGATAATTACTAAGTACCATCTTCAATCTGCTAGCTGCTATGAGTGATACCAAGATGGGTAAGAAAATGCATCTGGCCTTGTGGAGCCAGCCATGTAATAAAGGAGATGGAATATATATGAACAATTAAAATGCTAAAGAGAATACAAAAATTAAAACAATATATGATGGAAACTTGGTAATGGAACAGTCACATTCAATTAGGTATTTAGAAACTATTTCATGGATGGGTAAGATTTGACTTGGACTATGAAGCAAGGTGGGATTTAGAGGGGTTTTTTAGGGGGTTGGGTGCATATTCCAAGATGGAAGTACAATATTAATGCCTTCTATTTAAATGTCTTAGTAGAGGTAATATATGGAAGACAATTGATATGGAAGCTGATTTTGACTTTCACAGTTCATTCCCTTTTATAGCATGAGGATGTATATTTCTCTCACGTCCTTAAAGGAATACTTACAAAGTGTTTTGAGATCCATGGATTCAGAGCACTTATTCTCCATTCTAGCTACTTAACCTTCTGATTTCCTTTTCAAGCAAGTTTGAAATTAGGCTAAAAACTTTCAGATTCCTCATTGTTAAATAATCCTGTATATCAATGATTTGAAAGTGGAAAATAATCATTTCAGAAATATTGGCCAGAAAATGAAAGCCTTTTTTCATCTGGAAACCATCCAACTGCACCAGGAATAAGATCTGGACTTTAAATTTGAATGTCATCTTGTGCTTATTGCTTGTGTACTGCATGTGAAAAATAATAAGTCATTATTATTACCAAAAATCATTATTTGGTAATAACATCAATAGGGTTCATATGTAAAATTAGTCATTTTTGTGTTTTTCCATTGCAGATTCCTTATATTACATGGCAGGAGGAGTGGGTAAACTTAGAGATAGCAAAGACAACAACAAATTAATTAAGAGCTTTCTTCATATCTCAGAATCTATCCTCAGTAAGAGTAAGTGATCACATAACTTCCTTTTTGTTTTTAATTTTCATTCTTTTTCATGGCGATATATAACTCTGAAAAGTCAGTAAGGTCCTATTGATTTAGTCATTTTCTATTAGAAGTCACTCATTAAGATAAAATATAAATGTTAGTTAAGTGACTTACATGTTAACACTCCAGGACAGTCCATTTCCAAATCTCCTCATTCTTTGGCCCAGTTACTTTATGGTAGTGATTCAGGCATAAGAATATTTGTATATAATAATGAGCTTCTAAGAGATAGTATGGGGTTTAACTTTGTAGGCATTAATAGCTGCTTCTTTGGGATTAAAATGACATTAAAATAAGATAACAAAAAAGGTTATAAATCTCAGAAAAAAAAAGTTTTAAAGAAAAGAATGAATAATTATCTTTCAGGACCTAGCCATCTGTCTCAGAGAGGATCTCCTCCGTAAGCCCAAATCCAGGGATTCTCAATTCTAGAGGTGTGTTAGAATCACCCACTGAGCTTTTAAGAAATTCAATGCCTAAGTTTCCATACCCTAAAACAATCAAAATAAGATTCTCTATGGGGTGGTATCTCAGATTCAGTAATTTTAAAACAGCTTTCCTGGTGATTCTAATCTGGGTGGAAAAAGCATTGCTTACCCAAGGAATCATATTACAATGTCAGGAATAGTAAAGGAAACTGTTTCCCTAGCTCAGTGATCTGAGTCAGTGACTAAGGTGTTAAAATGGGTACAAATCCTGTGGGAATAATGAACAAAATTCAATTTCAGTATGAAAAATAGGATAAGCTCTTGGACTTTATTTTAACAGAATTTTAAATCAGTATATTTTATTAGAATCAAAATATGAATAAATTTGCATGTTTCACAAAGATGTTTGGGGATGTTGGGGAAGGAAATATTGGCCATTTTATTCTATCTTGCTTATTGAGAAATATAGATCTAAGCGACATTTATAATGAAGGGAGTTATATCAGTGTGGAAGCCTAGTGATGGAAGTTTGGCATGGAAAAGGGGAAAAGGAGAGGCTTCTCATACCTGTAGATTATCAGTGGGAAAATATGATAATTAGTCATGTTCCCAAGGACCAGCAAATAAGATGCTGTGAAAAGTGGATGAGAATAAGGCCAAGGAGTATTTGGAATAGGGGCTGTGATGCTCAGTTTTGAAGCAAGAGGATAAAAGCAGCAAGGATAAGCAATTATTTCAAGACAAATGGCTACAAATCAGAGAGATAAAGAGGGAGCAGCAAGGGGGAGGCTTGGGGTGGAAGAAGACAATAAAATGAACGTCAACCTTCTGGCTTAGAACACCAGGTTGTTGTTGGTGTCATTCCAGAAATTAGAGAATAGAGGAAAGTGTTGGGAGGGTTATGAAAGAATCAGCATCAGCAAGGGTATTGCTGCCTCCATGGACAAAGGCCCACTGGGTGGCACATATGACATCTCTCTTCTGCCATTCAGAAGTTTGGCTGAACCAGTGAGACAGAATTTCTTCAGGATCCTTGGCTAATTGGAGGAGAGATTGATCTAAGGAACAGCTACTAGACTTACTGCTAATAAAAGTAAGTGGTCTAGAAATAAATTAAAAACAAACTGTGTATTACTTTAGAAAATAGTTGATGGGGCAAGAACAGGCAGGGAGAAGTAAATTAATTCTATTTTGATCATGTATTTTGAGTGTCTGCTTAAAATCCAAGACGTGGAAGGGCCGTTAAGCAAGGACACAAGGAGAAGGACATGGCTGCCTAGGTTCTTTCATGAACAAATCTATAATTAAGCACCTCTTAATAGCCTTGGCACTGGCTTTAGCAAAAGAGATATACATGTTTAAGAAATCTTTCTGCAGTTGAGAGCTGAGGATGAAGATATCCAGAGTTAGATGAGTTTGAAGTAGCTCTTGGAACAGGTTTCTATTGAAAGCACAGCTCCTATTTTTCAAACCTCGACTATTCACCTTTTTCTCCTTACTTTTATAGAACTTTCCCTTCTGATGACCATTTATTATTTTTTTTCTACTTCCAGATGTCAGATAGGGTTAACTGGTTACAAAGCCAAAATGGGGTATGCAAAGTGGATGTCTATTCACCCGGAGACAGCCAACCTCAAGACTGGAAAATGGTAAGTTGTCAACTTCCTTGCAAATACTGGATCAGGAATATGTGGAGTGCCATAAATAGTAACCTCATTTTCTCCATCCCCACCAACCACCTATTTTTGAAGACCCACCTATTTTGCTTGGGGAAAATAAAATGAATTCCTTTAGGACAAAAAATTCCATCTGTAATATTTGGAGGACATTCCTATGATATGGTATTTAGGAGGAGAAATATGCTATAATTAATTGAAAAAACTATATATTACAGCTGTAAAAGTTTGCTCATAAAAAGCATTTCTGAAATGTAAGCTATCTCAAAACTGTCAGAAATACAAACTCTCATCCAAGTAATATTGTCATTCTGCCTCCATTGTTCAACATATATTTATTAAATACTAATATCAGGCACTATAAGTCAGCATCCAGTCAAGATGGAAACCACACCAGTACTTTAATGTTAAAAAATGTTTATTAAAAGTGGCTACCCAAGTTAACTATGAAAAGCTGTAAAGAGGACTCTCAGAGTTCTAGAAGTAGCAAATACAAAAGCAGTTACTACCCCTAGGCTGAGAGAGAGTTAATGAGGAAGAAACTGAGAATCTATAAAAGTCCTCTCTTTCTCAACCAAGGCTGCTTAAAATCTCTGTGGAGATAGTGTGGTTGCCAGAGGAACACACAGCCTGCTGGTCCCAAAGACACTTGCCTAGAGGGTATAGGTGGGCCAGAAGGGAAACCTTTTCCTCCTGCTGTAGCCAGAGAGTATCCCCCCCAATGCCTTCTATTAACAAAGTCAGCTGCCAAAAGAGAAATGTTTAATAGATCCAGTTCCAGTGTCACAAAGCAAGACAAAGAAGGATTAACTTGAAGTTGAGAGACAATAATGGATAAACTGGTACTGAATCTTAAAGTCAGATATATAAGACTAGATAGAATTCTCTTCCTTTAAGGATTTCATAATCTAGTCGAATCACTATGTAATTCTTATCCTTAGTATCAAACACTTATTTGCATGTAATGTTACATGACCCATCTCCTGCTTGTCCAAAATATATTTGGTCTATCTTTATATAGCCTAAGAGATAAAACATTTATATATCCAAGACATTAAGACATACACATAATAAATATCCAGTTACTATACAGTAAGTGCCAACCAAATATGCTTCTACTAGATCTTTTTTTCTTTTTTTCCGGCTGGGTACAGTGAACTTTATTGATGATGCATGGCAAGGCAAGGCTTCTTAATCCCCTCCTCTCTTCATGGGGTCTAGGATGGAAACTAGAGGTCAGGAGACTATCAGTGTGTTGGGGGATCGATTTGGGACAAGGACTCCCCAGGAGTTGAGGAGCTCTCTTCCTGTCGCTGGGCTGGTGGGCCAGGGGGCTCTTACTCCTTGGAGGCCATGTGGACCATAAGGTCCACCACCTTGTTGCTGTAGCCAAATTCATTGTCATACCAGTAAATGAGCTTGACAACGTAGTCATTGAGGGCTATGCCAGCCCCAGCATCAAAGGTGGAGGAGTGGGTGTCACTGTTAAAGTCGCAGGAGACAACCTGGTCCTCAGTATAATGCAGGATGCCCTTGAGAGCACCCTCTGATGCCTGCTTCACTACCTTCTTGATGTCATCGTATTTGGCAGCTTTCTCTAGGCAGCAAGTCAGATCCACAACTTACACATTGGTGGTGGGGACACGGAAGGCCATGCCAGTGAGCTTCCAATTCAGTTCAGGGATGACCTTGCCCACAGCCTTGGCAGCACCAGTAGAAGCAGGGATGATGTTCTGGGCAGCCCTTTGGCCATCACGCCACAGCTTCCCAGAGAGACTATCCACGGTCTTCTGGGTGGCAGTGATGGCAGGAACTGTGGTCATGAGTCCCTCCATGATGCCGAAGTTGTCATGGATGACATTGGCCAGGTAGGGAAAGCAGTTTGTGGTGCAAGGAGGCATTGCTGACAGTCTTCATGGAGTTGTCATGCTTGTCATGATTCACACCCATCACAAACATGGTGGGGCACCTCCAGAAGGGGCAGAGCTGATGACCCTCTTGGCTCCACCCTTCAAGTGAGCCCAGCTTCTCCATGGTAGTAGAGATACCAGTGACTCCACAACATATTCAACACCAGCATCACCCATTTGATGTTGGTGGGATCTCGCTCCTGGAAGATGGCAATGGACTTTCCAATGATGACAAGCTTCCTGTTCTCAGCCCTGACTGTGCCTTTGAACTTGCCATGAGTAGAATCATACTGGAACATGTAGACCATGTAATTGAGGTCAGTGAAAGGATCATTGATGGCGGCAGCATCCACTATGCAAGAGTAAAAAGCAGCCCTGGTGACCAGGTGCCCAATACAGCCAAATCCGTTCACTCAGACCTTCAGCATCATGTCTCAGGGTTGTGGCTGGCACTGCGCAGGAAGACACGGCTGTCTGTCGAATGGGAGGAGCAGAGAATGCTTCTACTAGATCTTTTATTCTGCTTTTATTTAGAAAAACAAAATACAGATGAGTTTCAATTAACAGAAATTTCTTTAGTTTTTACTAAGTGAGAAGCCCTCTGGGGAATGAAAAAAAAGAACAAAACAATTTCTGTGCTCATAGACTTTACCATTAATTTGAGAAAATAAAAGTATACATGAAAATGTAATTTAAAAGCTCTGAGAAACTGGCAGACACTAATTATAAGAAATCTATGATAATTCACCAAAAGTATTTCCTGGATAATAATTGTGATAGGTGTTTAAAGAACAGATCATTTCAAAGTGGGAGATAGGGAAAATTTTATAAGTATGTTTAATTGAGCTAGAAGTGAAAATTAGGATAGAATATATATGCAGGGGGGGCCAAAAGTAGATTTACAGTTGTGAGTATACAAAACACAGTTTATTATTGTATTATTATTTATTAATTATTGTATTATTTTCCATAAGAACAACTGTAAACCTACTTTTGCCCCATCCCGTATGTTGATTTGAATTAAGTTACCGAAACAAAAGATGACTGAGGAGAAAACATTAAACTCCTTAACCCTTTTCATATTCTTTGTCAAGACATGAAAATTTTCCCTGGCCTTAATTAAGAAAGACTCAGAAATAATTTGATATCCACTTTCCCAAGTTCTCAGGTTATTACTGCATAAGAAGAGAGGTAAAGACTGCAAGATGTGTAAGGGGTTGGAAGATATGGATGTTTGATTGTACACTACATTGATAGAAAAATGAATGTGGTTAATCTTTCCATCAGTCACTATAGCTTCATCAACCATCTTTGCAAAATTCTTCTGGATCAAGTGGAATAATGGACATAGGGTACATACCCTTTAAGTTTAAGAAACATAAACAATAAAAACCTACAAACACAGCAAGCTAACACAACTTTTTATAGCACATCAAAAAACTCTATGCTATAATGTGGGTTTGTAGTTTTTTTTAATATTCTGTGAAAGAATTGAAAAAATAAAAGAATAAATCCACATTTGCATTAATAAGATTTACCTGTACTGCTTAGTTCAACTATGGAAACATGCCTATTTGCAGATAGTGTGCTTTTCTGTAAATAAGTAGTTACTATTAAGGAATAATTTTAAAAAAAAAGGGTAAAACAAAGATTTCCAATCAAATATGAAAATGAATGCATGTTAAAGATTTTACTTAACTCATTGATGAGGAAATTGATGAGGTGTTAAAACCAGTTCAAAGGAGAATTAAATAGATATATTTATAGGCCAGGAATATTGAAATAAGTGCAAAAATAGAGGCAAAACTGGCCTCTTCACAGTAGGGAAAGGAAGTCAGCTGAACTTCCACTGGGTAGAATTTACATATTTATAAACATATATAATTGTTTTGCATTGCTATCATTATCTATAGCTTACAGAGATGTAAAATAGCTTCCACAGAATCAGAAATAGATTATGTAGAAAGCTGTAGCAGGGGTGTCCAACCTTTTGGCGTCTCTGGGCCACACTAAAAGAAGAGTTGTCTTGGGTCACACATTAAATACACAAACATTAACAAAATTGATGAGCAAAAAAAAGATTTTAAGTAAATTTACAATTTTGTGTTGGGCCACATTCATAGCCACTCTGGGCCACAGGCAGGCCATGGGCCACAGGTTGGACACCCTGCTCAGAATGCCAAGTCTATAAACTAGGGACTGTAGACAATTTCTACAGCCACACACATATCTCATAGTTACTTTCAGAATTTTTTCCTATATAGTTGCCTTCATTTTAATAAAAATTCTCAAAGACAGATTTTGATTACAAAAATAACAATATAATCAGATTTAGTGTGATTATTTAAATAAGTACAATCACTGGCTAGGCCTTCTTAAGTTTGCTTTGCTATAAGATTTCATAAGGAATCTCAGATTGGACTTTTAAAGCCCTTTATTATTTGCAATCCTGAGACTAGGAATTCAAGAGTAAAACCCTCTCTCCACCAGGTTTTACCTGCAGTTCCTAGAACAAGCATGTACGCCATTGTATTTCTCTGACATCATGCTCCTAACTATAGTCTCAATCACTTACATTAATCATAACTTTTTATCAAAGTATTTTCTATTTTTTCTATTTCAAAAAGAAAACTAAATAGGAAGGGGTATGTAATCGTGAACTACTACACACCAGTAAAGTACAGACTAGCAGAACTCATTAACACACATAAGATAATTTCTACAGCCACGTACATCTCTTATACAACCTAAGTGACAAAGATGAACACATTCATTAACAGACCCAAAGATATAGCCTTTTATATAATAATAAAAAATAAGAATCAAAAGCATATAAACTATGCTTATTTATCAGTGTTTCAGTATTCTATTTTACTTAGAAATGATCTAAGTATCCCATGTAATAGTCATTAATTAACTAATATAATACCAGTCCCCTGTTTTAAGTCATATAAAGATGCTGGAAATTTATCATCAAGCTGGCATATTTACTATAAAACATAACTTGAAATAACATTTGTCAGAATAATTATTCAATTTGATTAAACACAACTTATATTTTTC